CTCTCCCTTCTCTCTGCACGTTCCCACCACCTCCACTGTAGCAGGAGTGACGTAAATCCAATCCGAGCTTTAGATGAGAAAAATAATCACTATTTTATACAGCTTTATTTGTACTAATTTAGTTCTCTGAAACTGATCACTTCAGGACTAGATGACCACCCATGCTGGAACAAAGCACATCCTTGACTGAATCATCTCTAAGTTACAATAGCACACTCCCTGTTCAAGGAGATTCTCCAGCTGCAAGGACTGGATGTGGAGGAGCAGGGACTGTAAAACCCTAAGAGAGGAGCCAGAGGTTAGGCTTGGAGATTTATCAGGTTTAAGAAATACCTGCTTTCAACCCTAGGACATGACTTAAGAGTATAATGTGCAGATGCCTTCAAAACCTCTTTTCTCATCTTCTGTTTTCAGGCATCTGTGAATTTGGTAGAAGCTCACTTCTTAGAAAGAAATTTCCTTTGTTCACTCTTCAGAGCCTCATTTTTACAGAAAAAGCAGCTCGGTAATTACTGTGGAAGACAAAATAGAAGCCCAGAAACATAACACAGAAAGCATGGTCTCATGTAGAGGCCTGACATACTGCCATGGTCTTCCAGTTTGGGACCCTGTATACCAAAAGTCCCCAGTGGAAAACAGAAGTAGCAATATTTTATACAGATGTTGAAAGAAAACATAACAAGAAGGAGACCAGTAGATAGAAAAGTGAGTTGGGTACAATCAATCCTCATGTAACTAGGTAGAAGAGTAAAATCTATATATTTATTATAAATTTATAATACTAATATATAAGCATAGAAAATGATTTTTTATTATTCTGAGTTATGTTTATGTATTCACATATAAGATTGCTGAAGGACTATAATTTCACAACTTTGCTTTAAAAATAATTTAAAATTATATAGCTGACATCACTCAGGAGAAATGTCTTTTAATATCATGTGTTGTAATGCTATAAACACAGAGATCCTGTGAAGGGCCTGGGGTTTTTCACTAAGCTGTTCACTTGTGTGAAAATCTGCTGCTGCATAATCAGCTTCATAATCCCTTGAATTCTCATTTCCAGATATTCTGGAGTAAGGCAGTAAACTCTCCTGGCTAGAGATCTTGACATGTTTCTCCACCTTTCTCAGTTTCTGAACCTAACGATTATTTTTATCCAATCAGTATTTAGTGATGCTTCTTACACTGCCGTAAGAAAAGTTAAATATCCTTCCTCAGTTTTGCAGATAGAGTAATTGAAGTGTGCAGTGATTAACAAATTACATTTCCTGGGTCAGCGAGAAAGTTCACAGCAGAGCTAATAATGGGACTTTTATCTCTGGTCTTAATGATTACAGTGTGACAGCACAGCATCCCTCAAAGTAGAAGTTTCAAAACTAAGCATTTTGTTATTACATTGACAGAATGGGGTCCCTTCAATTTGTTTGCTGACCTTGGGCTAGTGAATAAGCCAGCCACTCAATCTGAAGGATATCTGTGCTCTGAATGGGGTATTCAGATTTAACAGAACACATTTTATTTTAATATTTTGTAATGAGAATATTCCTATTGTAGAATTCCTGGTGTTATTGCTCTGGACACAATTATAGATTCTTCATTGTAGTAACTGAACATCTAAGTCTTAACAAATTTTCATTATAGGATCTCTGTGAATAGGGAATGGCTACTATCCAATTTTTAAAGGGGCTTAAAAACAAAGATCACAGAGAAAATCTCTGGTGCCGCAAAAATTTAAATTCACATCTCCTAGTTTTTAAGCTGGATTAACCTACCAGTGGATGAATTTTCCTAATTACTGGATGAAAACTCCTTTCTATAGTCATCTCAAATTCACAAAAAGCCTAAAACAATGACTATGCAAAATGTGCTTTCCTACTCCCTAGACTTGCCACTGGGCTTGATCTAAAGCTTAGCAATAACCAAGTTAGTTTATGAACTCAATGTTTCACATTCACTTTAGGATGCTGATATAAATTGGGATTAAGGAGAAGGCCCATGAAAACTAAAAACTGGTGGCTTCTGCAAACTAAAATGAGATGAAAAGAGTGGAGAAGAGGAAACAATGAAACGTGATGAGAAGGAAAGCACAAAACCCACCAGAGATGTAGAGGAACCAGGGATGCCTGTGTAGAAATAGGAGCATGTCATGGTAAGGAAAAAAAGCTAGCCATTACCTAAACTTCTCTATAGTGCCAGAGCTGTACACATGGTTTTAGAACACAGACACAAGTGGAAGTCTCTGCCCAGGACACTCTTCCAGTGCTGTCTCGCTGAGTTACACTAAAAACTTCAGGGGAGTGCAGGCTCTTTTACATACATGAGAACTGTACTTGGATATGATAAAATATCACAGCTGTTAGTCTAATTTGGAATCAATTTGCATGGTAATTCTATGAGGGTTGCACTTTCTTTATTTTCCTTCTCTGCAGTGAGGAACCTTCCCTTTTTCAGTAGGGAAGATTGATCCTGGATGTCTGCATATGAGTTTGAAAAAATCTGGCTCTTCAAGTGTGACTCATTACTATTTGTCCGCTATTGCTCAGCAGGGAGAGAGCTCTGCACAGAAGTACAGTGGTTGCTAGTCCGTATTTGTTGGCTTCTGCAGAGCCTACGGAAACCAATAATCTCTAAATAGGTATATCTGGAGTGGAGATTTGCCCATGTTTATGTGAGAATCAGTTAAGTTCTGGAGAAAGAAAAGTTCCTTAAAGAGAAATAAAAGAGAAGGCACTCAGAATAATGAGGGCTTTGCAGACAGTACTTGGTAAAAATATCTAAGGCAATATTTGTATACTACATTTTTTCCAGTGGCAAAGCCAGCTGAAGAAATTATCCTCCCAGCTATTCCTTCCTTTCTGCTCTACCCTCACTGCAGTTCTCTGTACACCCTGATGCGCTAATGACACTTGTCACGGGACTGTGCTGGACCTAGGCCATGTAAATGATGTAAATGTGTAAAAAACCTCACATTTTGGAAGCTAATTTTTAAACCCATATCATTTTAACATCCAGATCATCCCGCAGCATCATAAATGGCTACACTAGTATGACATTGGGGTAGCGAATGGCAGCAAGCAGTAAGTATAGAAGTTTAAATATAGGAGAAAGTGGGAGCTTCTTGGTTGCTGCTCAAGAAAACAAGAGTTCAGAACACCACCACAATTTGAGTATCGGGCCTGAAATATTTATCTCCCTGTTACCCATATAACTTTTAACAAGGGTAGCTTATCATATGGTCTCAAGAGGTTCAGTTCATCATGATTTTGGGTGACCTGGTCAAAAAAAGGAAGTTTGTGAGTAATCATCATCATGACAAAGCAATTGAGTACACCAGTAAATCTGTTCCCCTGTTACTTAGAACAACCTGGAGAAAAGTAATAAAATAACACAAAAATAGAAATTCACACAGCATTTTTAAAAAATTACTCATTTACAGATGTATTTGACACACTTTTTCTGGCCCACAGACTGCTGGGAGAACTGCCCCTTTTTCAGTTCTATGTATGGACTTTATCGAGATGTGTTCCATGTGAACTCCAAAGATGAAAATGCATCGACTGACTTTAAACTAATTTATATCACACTGGCTTTATTTAGTTTTTAATCTCTGCCCTACAAACCAAGACAAAAGCTACAGTTTTCTCACTTTAATGAAATATCTGCATTAGGTGAGCCATACAGATATTCTTTAAGAGACATACGCATATTACCTTTCTATTTTTTACGATGACTTAATGGCATAAACTGTGATGCTTTTTCCATTATAAATATTAAGAAAATCTTCCTCTTACCTGAAGGTAATGGCATGGCCTCAAGGAAGGTTTGATTTCCTGATGAACCAAAGGCTTATCTAAGTTCAGTGATGATTTGCGATAAGCTTCTTTAGCCTGACTTACTGTCAGCGTGGACCAAGAACTCCTTTTCATATATTTACCATCAGGGGTCATTGCTAGCCCTTCACAAGCCGAACATTTCACGTCATTGTTACTTTTGGAAGTCTTCAATGAGAGATCCCCAAAATGCCCCTGGAGTGCCTCAGGGTAGCAATGGGATATATGATCTGCATGGTGCCGATTTACCACACTAGGTGTTCGGTAAGTGCTATCACTGTCCAAATTATCATCAGAGCTCCACCAGCTGCTCATTCCAGATTTATGTTTGCTTTCTGGTTTTCTCTCCTTACTTTTACTCCTTTTGCTATGCTTGGAATGGTGCCCATGATGATGATCGTCACCTCGACTGTCTCCCTTTGTTCCATTAACGTTGCCCTTGGATGATCCTTCCAGAGAATGAGATTTAGTAAAAAGTTTCTGGACTGAATGAACGAGATGGCGTATTCTTCCTGGGCTCTCACTGCGTTGTTCCGCAGCTGTTGAGGTCCTCTGGTACTGTAAAGTGTGAAACCCATCCCGATGAAGAGGAAGTTGTTTCTCAAATTGGTCCAAAAGATTTGCAGGAATACGGTTAATCTTAGGGTTACCGTGAGACATGGCGCAGTCGTCTCTTGAGTCGTAATGTGAGCTGTAGTGCATTCTGGGGAAAGTGCTACTTGACATGTGATCGCCCATTACCATGGGCATCATCATGCATTCAGAATGAATGGAGCTGCGTGGTGAGCAACGATGGTGGTCCATCGGGCAACTCTCCGTGGGGCTGAGAAGATACGATTGCCTTGGTTCCTGCCCATGGTGGATATGGTCGTGGGTGTGTTCACAATCTTCAGGGGATGCTAAGCCACAAGTATGAGCTGAACATAACTGTGGTTGGTTGCGACTACCAGATAATCCTTTCATATTCCTCGAAGCAGGAGAGTATCTTTCTTCATTGAAGTGCTGAGAAGGCGACCATGAGTACTGCTGGTCTGTCAGGACAACACATAAAACCTATGTTATGTGTCTGATTAAAAGATTAATTTGAAAAATCCAAGTATATCGCAAAATTAAATATCTTTTTCTCTATGAGTTTGATGGAAACACTCACCATCCGTGGAATTTCATTTACCGTTTTAAAACTGGTTAAAATTGCTCACTACGAGCAACTTATGGGGTGATTGCAGCTTCCTTCCTGTTTGCAAAACTGTCTGCTAGCAGTTCTAAATTTTACGAAGCTATTCGTTATGCAGATTTACTCAAATAGATGTAATGGATACATTCAAGTACTCAGTTTATTATTTGCTATTTGGAATTCATATGTCAAACTTTGTGGCTAGTCATTGAAGTTACGTGGGTCTAGCTTCTATTTCTGTGGTTTATCAGTTGGATGTCTAAACCTAAATGTATCCTTTCTCCATGGAGTCAGTTTTGTATCACAAACTGAACTTCATTTTCTCAAATGAATCTCAGCTTCAGGATCCCAAGTTCACTGTTCATAAACATAAATAACAAACAGCAAAGGGAAAAAGAATATGAACATGCTGAAATGAAGCTTAATTTTTATACCTCTAAACAGTTTATGAATAAGCATTTCATACTATTTGAACATCTTTTATCCTTAGTCCAGAAGTATTATTGCTATTCTTATGTACAGTCTTCTTTATTAGGCAGTTTATTCCCTTTTTATGTCCAAATTACAAAATATTTATTTACTGACTCTCTGTTATTCCTAATGAAACAAATCTCTTTAGATACAAGCCACAGGTTTTTATATATTCAATTATTTGTTCCTATGGATCATGTGCTCCAAGTTGTGGTTATTAAACAAGCACGATTACCAAATAAGAGTAGCTCGTAAGTAAAGATTTTGATACTCAAGCCTTTGATTTTTTTTCTCTCATGCAATTTCTTGCAGATGTCAAATGTTACAAAGAGAAAAATAAAAATAAAAAAACAAACCAGAAATGCTTCAAATTGATTTTTGTATTCACTTTCCCTCTTCAATTTCAGCTTATTTAAGCAACATTTCGAAAGCAGGCAAAGATATAGGATGCAAGACAATCCTTTAGAGGATCAGACAGATGCATAAGTGTTTATATGACCCACTTAGCACAGTCTTTCTGCAAATTTGCTCTAAAGAATCTAAATAATCTTGCACAGGTGCCCGATACAAGGAATTTGAAGGCCTCAAGCAGAATGGGAGCTAGAGAATACGTACTCGTTATATGCAACATAACCAGACACTGGAGACCAGCCTCTAGATACAACATAGTAGCCAATTTTTAGGGGTTTCTAAGCATATGTCAGAACTCTCCTCAATCATATTCCCACTACTGCTGAAAACTCAATGCCTGCATATGGTCATGAAAAAAATCAATACTCATGTCTCTTTAATTTTATTCAGTTAACAAGTGTTACGTTATGCTATCTTGAGTTCAGAATGCAATTTGTTGCAAATCTCTAAATTTCCTATAGTGGAAGATGCTTAGATAATTTTATTAGATCCTAATTTCAACAGAGCTTTGCATAATGTTTTAAAATGAATATAGCATTACACTAATAAACAATAAAGTATTCTTCTTCACTGTAGGTGCAATCCTACCACACTAAAGTCAAAGATGGATTTAAGGGCCCAAATTTCACCTCCAGACTTTGTCATGGTGCGAAATGATGCCTGTGTGCATATATCGTTTTCTGCTTCTATTTTGTTTTTATACTGGTTTCTTTTACTGAATTCTTCACTATTCTGACATTAAAATAAAAACTTATTACTGTCTATTACTCAGTCTGTCATACTATTTAGGTTATAATACCCTGCATAAATGTAATTACAAAAAGGAAATATAACTGTTTCTCTGAAATAACATTATTTTGATTATCCAATTAAAAGTAGAGCTATATATAGACAAGGTAGTAAATTAAAACAGTGCATTGGGATTCAGCCACTTAACAAGCACTGCAATTAATGGTACTTAACCCAGTATATTACCAAACATTATCAGGGGAATAATAATGGTCCATGTGTTGAACTTAGACTGTGCTTTCCCTAAAGTGTTCCCAAAGCACCTGAAAGAGATTGCTGCATTAGTTCCTACAATCCCATGAGATGTGGAAGGCACTGTTCTCCTTTTACGGAAAAGGAAACTGGAGTATAGGCAACATTTTCCAAAGTGCTTGTGGACTTGCTGATTTTCGTTTTCACAGCAGTATGAGCCAGAGAGAGGTGGAAGGATGCTCCTCCGTCAAACCGACAGCATGATGAGAGTCATCCCTGAGCCTTTTCGTCATAATCTTGCACACCTACGAATGAAGGTAACTCTTGCGCTACGTCTCTGAATCACCAATGCATTTCAGAAAAATAATAATAATAATAATAAAAAAGCAAAGGCATGGCAGAGATCCAGAAGGAAAGAAAGAGTTAGCCAGGAATAAGAAACTCATTTAAGCAAGTTCCCTAGCACAGAACTGCTAGTCCCTGGTGATTTCTTTAGTCCTCACACAGCACCAAACATCGCCCAGAAGGCTTCAAATATTTTCATCCTGTTACATCCCTAGGAATATGAGACAGCATGATTTGATTGCACTGCAATGGATAATCTAACCACAGCTTTCCCATCCCTCATGACTCTCTATGATTCCAATTCAGTGGGACTGTAGAAAAATACAGTTTTCTGTACGTTTCTTTCACAGCCTTATATCATTTTATGTGCCTCATGGAATTTCTGATTATTTTTTTTGTTTGAAACACAGTTGTTTGAAACTACTATAGGCATTTAATAAGCACAATCAAAATGATTAAAACATGAATTAAGAAGGGGATATTTTCCAAAAGTAATTTTCCCCTCTTAAATCTGCCATAAAGAGTAACTGATACCAGATAAAGTCTCAAATTACTTACATGTGCATAATCTAAATTTATCACTCCATTTAGGTTTGGGCTCTGCTTGAGACATCAAACCTGTTCTGTGTTCTAGGCACCATTACTTGTTCTTACAAACTCTCTGAAAATCTTCAGAATTTTGCATTATAATGTATACATTTATCAAGTCATCTGTGCTTTGTATTATTCAGTCAACTTTGTTCAGGAGGCCTGTTTCAGGGCTCGAAGAAACAGTTGAGCTGTGGCTGCATGAATTACTGTGTGATACCAGACCAGTGTAATTGACCATGTGCTACCTCTTAGCCTGCCAGAAAAGCAAAGAAAAATGTGCTAGCTTAAAATTCAATTAAGCTAACATGCTTTTCTAGCATTTGCAAGGGACTAAAAGTGTGTCTATGGTCAATGTTCACAGCTCAGCTGATTCATAAAAATTCGTAAAGCTATAGTATTATTTTTTTTTATTCAATCCTTTAAAAAGAAATTTAAGATTTTGGTATAACAAAACAATGCCAGATTTATCCCATAATAACAGATTGGACTGGAATTTTAGTCTATGTCTTGAAGATAATAATATGTAGAATAAAATATAAGGGTGGTTTGTTTGTTTGTTTGTTTGTTTAACAAAGCCCAAAACAGATCCTATGTTTTCTTGGGATTATCACTCCAAAAATGTTAAAGTAATTGAGGATACTAATGTCTAGTCCTCTAAAAGAAAGTGCCTCCATCAGAATCAAAGAAAGAAAGGGAGACAGAAAAACAAATAAACTTAACCCAAAGCAGACAGAGAAATAAGAACAGAGGAAAAAATATATTATATGTGAGCACAGGAATGGCTTTTACTTTAGGTTTCATCAGTGCAAAATGGAATCTTTCCATTGACTTCAATGGACAGTCAGACAACACATACAGACCATGGGGAAGACCTAGACCAAGATATAGGCTGTTACGTTAGACAGAATCCAGGAATTCCAAAATCCTGAAAATCCCTTAAAGCTCTTCTTTTAAGAGACTACTGTTCAGATAGGTCAGCCTTTAACCTTGACAAATGGAAG